ACTTTCTGAACTTACCTTTAAAACAGAATGCGACCTAAGAATGATGATTGGGTGACCTGACAGGGGGACACACCACTCATTCCTTCTCTCAGCTATTCCTGGAAGCTGTCTTGAGCTAGGTCTTCTCTATAGCCTTTCATGATCCCCTTTGTTCTTCTCTGGGATCTCTTGCTACTCTGTGTATGAGTCGGCTTGCATACCTATATTTTATTATAGTTATTGCTTCTCAGACTGTGTTTAGGGATGCTTCATTGAGTTTCTATTATATGTAAACTAGAAGCCCATTGCACGAAGATTCGCGCAATAGGCCTTCCTTCCCCTGGCTGCTGGCACCGGTTTTCCTCCGGCACCTGGGACCCAGGCCTTTGGTCTGGCAGCAGCAAGGCTTGGCGGCCGCAGTGGAGAAGCCAAGCCTCTTCAGTCTTCAGTCTTCAATCTTCACTCTGGCCGGAGCCTTCAGTCTTCGCTCCGCGCCTGCGTACGCAAATTAACCGCCATCTTTGTTGGGTTAGCCAAGAATTACATCAGTAATTTTCAGATTATGTTCTAGGGAAACCAAGGTTTAGAATCAACTAACATGCATTTAATGTTTAGTTACATTGAGTGTTCTAAGTGATTTTTCACATAAGTCATTGTTTTGTGCCTTTAATCTTAAACTTTCTAAAATGCCAGTATTATACTCAGGGGGAAGTTGATCCATTAAAAGGTAACAAACTATCATCTTTTAAATTAAGCTACTTAAAAAAAAAGCATTTATTGCACTTGTGGGATTTGAAGATACAGTGTAGTTAAGGTATTTAGAACAACACAGATGCCAGTTTTTGTTTGAAAGTAATTATATTATTTTTTTTTGTTTCAAAATTAATTTCACTGATCATGTTAGGGGGCATCAAGTATTATTATCGAAGTGGCATGTTATCCATTAATTCAGCTGACAGACATGCAAAAAGATGTAACAATGAAAACGTAGGCACTGTTACTTTCTGAACTTAGCTTTAAAACAGAATGCAACCTAAGAATGATGATTGGGTGACCTGACAGGGGAACGCACCACTCATTCCTTCTCTCAGCTGTTCCTGGAAGCTGTCTTGAGCTATGTCTTCTCTATAGCCTTTCATGATCCCCTTTGTTCTTCTCTGGGTTCTCTTGCTACTCTGTGTATGAGTCGGCTTGCATACCTATATTTTATTATAGTTATTGCTTCTCAGACTGTGTTTAGGGATGCTTCATTGAGTTTCTATTATATGTAAACTAGAAGCCCATTGCACGAAGATTCGCGCAATAGGCCTTCCTTCCCCTGGCTGCTGGCACCGGTTTTCCTCCGGCACCTGGGACCCAGGCCTTTGGTCTGGCAGCAGCAAGGCTTGGCGGCCGCAGTGGAGAAGCCAAGCCTCTTCAGTCTTCAGTCTTCAATCTTCACTCTGGCCGGAGCCTTCAGTCTTCGCTCCGTGCCTGCGTACGCAAATTAACCGCCATCTTTGTTGGGTTAATTTGCATAGTTGCTCTGATTGGCTGGTGGGCGTAGTGGAATGACACCAATTTGCATGTTTCTCTTTTATTAGTGTAGATGCATACAGTTTCTTCAAAGAAAACAATCCTTAATCCTTCGGGAAGTGTGCTGGTTGCTCCAGTTACCTGGTTGATTGTAGCTGCTGGTTTACCTGCTGCCTGGGAATCGCAACAAAAGCCTTGATTTACTTTCTAAAAAGCAAGGGTATTGACTGGGATTCCTAAGCTCTCTTGTGTCTCCACAATGCTATCGTTATATGATTCTAATCCATCACTAGAAATGTATCGTGAAATTGTTAATGAATGCTTGCAGAATGCTTAGGGAATTTTTAATGAGAAGCAGATACTTGTGGTTTGTCTTAATTAATAGATGGCTTATTAACTTTTTTTTTTCTTTTGCACCAACAGTCCATTCTTTAAAATGTACTTTCAAGAATAAATTGCAATCTGGGGAAATATTTTAATATCTTAATAAAATTTAGCTTTAAAAAACAAGCATTATTATGATCACTGTAGAAACCAAGAATCTATGTAAGTAGTTATAATAAAAGGGACAGCAGCAGCAGCAATATACAGTTTTCATGATTTTTCAAAATATTTAAATATGATAGCAAGATTTTATTCCTAAAGGAGGCAAGACACGTACTTTCATACCCTAGGGGAGCTAAGATCTAGAGATTAAAGGCCCATTCATTCCTTAAATAAAAATGTGCTGAATGCCTATATATGGGTACAATGATTGAAGGTGCAATGGTAATTTACTCTATTTGATTCTGAGAATAGGAGAGACAGATTTATAAACAAATGTATTAGTTGATAATATAGTTCACTCTGGGGTTAAATGTTTGAGTGCATATAACTCTGGGGTGTTGTTTGGGGCTCCACAGAAAAGCTGATTTTTAAAGCAGTTTCATTAGAGAAGGAGTTATGAAAAGGCCTAGGTATTTGAAGGACAGTGTCAAGTTCAATGTAGCTAGAGCATTACTGTCCAATATAAATACTAGTATAACTATGTAAGTTAAAATTTTCTAATAGGCATATTTAAAAGTAAAAAAGGGACAGGTAAAATGAATAATAATAAATTTTATTTAATACATCTGATGCATTTTATTTATTTTTCTTACTTAGATATGAAGTATTTGATTTTAAAGAACAAATCAGGTGTTTATTTTACATTTACAAAACATCTCAATTTGGGCTAGCTACATTTCAAGTTCTCAGTATCTAGAAGATATGAGAGAGAGAGAGAGAGAGAGGGAGAGAGAGAAAGAGAGAGAGAGAGAGAGGAGATATGCCTTTTGTTTCTTCTTGTCTGAGTGCTGTGGCTAGGACTTCCAGTACTAAGTTGAATAAGAGTGGTGAAAGTGGACAACCCTTTCCGGTTCCTGATCTTAAGGGAAATTGTTTTAGTTTTTCAGCATTGAGTATGATGTTAACTATGGGTTTTTCATATATGGCTTTTATTATTGTTGAGATATCTTTCCTTTATTCCCACTTTGTTGAGAGTTTTTATCATAAGTGTGTGCTGCTCTAGTTATCTGATCATGTTAGGGGGCATCAAGTATTATTATCGAAGTGGCATGTTATCCATTAATTCAGCTGACAGACATGCAAAAAGATGTAACAATGAAAACGTAGGCACTGTTACTTTCTGAACTTACCTTTAAAACAGAATGCGACCTAAGAATGATGATTGGGTGACCTGACAGGGGGACACACCACTCATTCCTTCTCTCAGCTATTCCTGGAAGCTGTCTTGAGCTAGGTCTTCTCTATAGCCTTTCATGATCCCCTTTGTTCTTCTCTGGGATCTCTTGCTACTCTGTGTATGAGTCGGCTTGCATACCTATATTTTATTATAGTTATTGCTTCTCAGACTGTGTTTATGGATGCTTCATTGAGTTTCTATTATATGTAAACTAGAAGCCCATTGCACGAAGATTCGCGCAATAGGCCTTCCTTCCCCTGGCTGCTGGCACCGGTTTTCCTCCGGCACCTGGGACCCAGGCCTTTGGTCTGGCAGCAGCAAGGCTTGGCGGCCGCAGTGGAGAAGCCAAGCCTCTTCAGTCTTCAGTCTTCAATCTTCACTCTGGCCGGAGCCTTCAGTCTTCGCTCCGTGCCTGCGTACGCAAATTAACCGCCATCTTTGTTGGGTTAATTTGCCAAGAATCTATGTAAGTAGTTATAATAAAAGGGACAGCAGCAGCAGCAATATACAGTTTTCATGATTTTTCAAAATATTTAAATATGATAGCAAGATTTTATTCCTAAAGGAGGCAAGACACGTACTTTCATACCCTAGGGGAGCTAAGATCTAGAGATTAAAGGCCCATTCATTCCTTAAATAAAAATGTGCTGAATGCCTATATATGGGTACAATGATTGAAGGTGCAATGGTAATTTACTCTATTTGATTCTGAGAATAGGAGAGACAGATTTATAAACAAATGTATTAGTTGATAATATAGTTCATTATGGTAGAAACACAGAAAATGTTTCTACCACGTAGAAACATTTAACTCTGGGGTTAAATGTTTGAGTGCATATAACTCTGGGGTGTTGTTTGGGGCTCCACAGAAAAGCTGATTTTTAAAGCAGTTTCATTAGAGAAGGAGTTATGAAAAGGCCTAGGTATTTGAAGGACAGTGTCAAGTTCAATGTAGCTAGAGCATTACTGTCCAATATAAATACTAGTATAACTATGTAAGTTAAAATTTTCTAATAGGCATATTTAAAAGTAAAAAAGGGACAGGTAAAATGAATAATAATAAATTTTATTTAATACATCTGATGCATTTTATTTATTTTTCTTACTTAGATATGAAGTATTTGATTTTAAAGAACAAATCAGGTGTTTATTTTACATTTACAAAACATCTCAATTTGGGCTAGCTACATTTCAAGTTCTCAGTATCTAGAAGATATGAGAGAGAGAGAGAGAGAGAGGGAGAGAGAGAAAGAGAGAGAGAGAGAGAGGAGATATGCCTTTTGTTTCTTCTTGTCTGAGTGCTGTGGCTAGGACTTCCAGTACTAAGTTGAATAAGAGTGGTGAAAGTGGACAACCCTTTCCGGTTCCTGATCTTAAGGGAAATTGTTTTAGTTTTTCAGCATTGAGTATGATGTTAACTATGGGTTTTTCATATATGGCTTTTATTATTGTTGAGATATCTTTCCTTTATTCCCACTTTGTTGAGAGTTTTTATCATAAGTGTGTGCTGCTCTAGTTATCTTTTTATTTTAATCCTTTAGCATATTTTAAACAGAAATATGAAGTAGCATGTAATTGCATGGTTTTAATAAATGCTGCCTTAATAAGGCCAATCCTTGCCTCTTTACTTCTTCATTCCTGGAAGTTATGGTACCTGAATTTGATGGTGGGAGTTGGGCAGTGGGTGAGAAGGGAAGGATAATCCTGTTTGAAAAGCAATCCCTGGGTTGTGGGCAGATAGCTGTGAGATTCTTTTCCTAAAACATGTTTCTTATTTACACAGACCATTTTAGGAAGGAAACGAACTGGAAAAAAAAATGAAGTTTCTTCTCTTCACATTTGTTGGTGCTCACCTTTTAGCCTTGAACTCTGGCAAAGCTATATGCAGGAATGACACCTCGCAGAGGACTTTCCAAGAAATAAAAGAAGAAATAGCCTGCTATGGAGATGTCGCTAAAGCAATCATAGACCTTGCTGTGTATGGCAAAGCTCAGAACAGATCCTACGAGCGATTGGCACTTCTGGTTGATACTGTTGGCTCCAGATTAAGTGGCTCCAAGGGTCTAGAAAAAGCCATTCAAATCATGTGCCAAAACCTAAAGGAAGATGGGCTAGAGAATGTCCACCTGGAGCCCGTCAAAATACCCCACTGGGAAAGGGGAGAAGAATCTGCTATGATGCTGGAGCCGAGGATGCAGAAGATGGCTATTTTGGGCCTTGGAAGCAGCATTGGGACCCCTCCAGAAGGTATCCCTTGTGGGTTTTTACCAAGTCAATTTGCCGTGTACTTTATAAAACTGACGTCGTATGGCATAATTTATTGCGGTATTCATGATTCATATTATAATTTGGGTGGTAAGAAGGAAAATGTATTCATTTCCTATTCCATTGGTTTAATGCAGTGGTTCTCAACCTTCTGGCCCTTTAAATACAATTCCTCATGTTGTGACCCAACCATAAAATGATTTTCATTGCTACTTCATAACTGTAATGTTGCTACTGTTATGAATCGTAATGTAAATATCTGATATGCAGGATGGTCTTAGGCGACCCCTGTGAAAGGGTCGTTCGACCGCCAAAGGGGTCGCGACCCACAGGTTGAGAACCACTAGTTCAATGAGTTCTCTACTGTTACACTCTATTTTCTTTCTTCTTCCTTCTCTCTCTGTCCTCTGTTGCTTTAAGAAAGGTGATCGTGTAGGGCCATTTTTTTAAATGAAGTATATACAGCTGTTGGTACGTGATATTTATCAGTCCTATCACTTGATAACTTGAAATTTGAGATATATGTTAATAGGATAGAAAAACTATGACTTCTTTCAAGTGTCCTCAATGTGCAGAATTTCGTAGAATTGGTGAGATAAGGAACTGAATTGTGTGCATTGAATTGCTTTGAGTTAATTATTTTTACAGAACCTGAGGATTCAAATGCCAGGGTGGCGTTCTACCTTTATTTATAGGACACTGGCTCAGCTTCCTCAGACAATATAAATGTTTAGATCAGAGAGATATTACCAGTCAACAGTGAGCTGTCAGTCCGTCTTGAATGTATTCGCGGACTTTTTCCATGGCCGAGTAACTAGTTTATAGAAACTACTTGGCCTTCTCTAAACATTTTTTAGAAACATTTAATCTCGCCTCATGCCAAGAGAAAGACCCAAAAGATAAATAGATGTTCAGGTTTTTTAATCATCTTTTTTCATTTAATTCACATACCATAATATTCACCCATTTGAAATATACAATTTAGGGGGTTTTAGTATATTGAGGAACCACCACAACAGTGTAATTGTAGACCATTATCATCAGCCCAAGAAGAAACTCATTAGCAGTTCCTCTCCATCCTTACTGGTCAACCCTCCTAAGCCTTAGGCTCTTTGTCTTTATGGATTTGCCTATTCTGTATATTTCACATGAATGGAATAATGCACTCACGATGTGGTCTTTTGTGGGTGGCTTCTCTTATGTAGCATAATGTTTTCCAGGTTCATCCATGTTATAGCATGTATCAGTACTTAATTCATTTTATTGCTGAATAACATTCCATTTTATGGCTATACTACATTTATTTATCCCTTCATCAATTGATGAACATTTGTTTTGTTTTTTCTACCTTTTGGCTTTTATGAATAATGCTGCTATAAACATCAATGCAGTTTTTGTATGTACATATGTTTCATTTCTCTTGGGTATGTCCCAGAGGTAGAATTGCTGGGTCATATGGTAACTTTATGCTTAACTTCTTGAAGAATTGCCAAAAGTTTCAAAAGTGGCTGCACAATTTCACATTTCCACCAATGTAGTTTAATTTTTTATACATACTTGCCAGCACTAGTTAGTATCTGTCTTTTCAGTTATAGCCATCCTAGTGGGTGTGAAATGATACCTCATGGTGTGTTTTTGTTTTTGTGTTTTTCCCCCCATTTATTTGGATACACCTTGAATAAAAAGAGGGTGATGATACAATGATTCTTGGAAGCTTTTTGTCTAGCAGAAAAGTGTAGAATGAACTGTCTCAAATTTTGTTTAACTTTTAACATAGAATCTTACAGCAGCACCTTTATCTTGACCCTAAGATCATGGTTTTACTGGAAAAACCCTGGATTTGATAATTTCCTAGAGGCTATTTTATTCTTTGAAAATCTTTTTATCAGGAGATACTGGTTTTATTTTTGAACTCAGCAAAACTTAGTTCAAAAATACTTCCTCAAAATTCTATTTGAAAATTAATCAATTTTTCTTTAGTTTATATATTCAAAACTTATCATATACAGCTTAAATAAACAGGATGGTACTGTAGTATCATTGTGTTTTTTATTTACATTTTTTTAATGACTAATGATGTTGAGCATCCTTCCATATTTTTATTGGCTATTTGTATATCTTCTTTAGAGAAATGTATATTCAAATCCTTTGCCAAATTTTTATTATTATGGGCTATTTGAATTTTTATTATAGAGTTGTAAAATCTCTTCATGTATTTGGATACATGTCCTTTGTCAGATTATGATTTACTAATGTTCTCTCCCATTCTGTGGTTTTGCTTTTCATTTTCTTGATGGTAATATTTGCTCCAGAAAAGTCTTTAATTTTGATTTAGTACAATTTATCTACATTTTCTTTTGTTGCTTGTGCTTTTGGTGTCATATGTAAGAAAGCATTGCCTAAACTAAGGTCACAAAGATTTATTTTTATATTTTACTAGAGGCCCGGTGCACGAATTCATGCACCAGTGGGGTTCCTTGGCCTGGCCTGCAGGATTGGGCTGAAACTGGCTCTCTGACATCCCCCAAGGGGTCCTGGATTGCAAGAGGGTGCAGGCCAGGCTGAGAGACCCCATTGGTGCATGATCAGGGCCAGGGAGGGATGCAGGAGGTTGGCCAGCTGGGGAGGGCTCCAGGGCATGTCCGGCCCATCTCGCTCAGTCCCAATTGACTGGACCCCAGCAGCAAGCTAACCTACCAGTCGGAGCATCTGCCCCCGGGTGGTCAGTGCACATCATAGGGACTGGTCGATGGGTCGACTATCTGACCCCTGATGGTCAGTGCACGTCATAGTGAGTGGTTGAGCGGTCTTAGCATATTATTAGCATATTACGCTTTGATTGGTTGAATGGCCGACCTGATGACTGGACACATAGCATATTAGGCTTTTATTATATAGGATTCTAAAAATTTTTATAGTTTTAGCTCTTACACTTAGGTCTTTGAGCTAACTGTATGGGATAGGAATCCAACATTATTTTTTTGCATGTGGTTATTCAATTGTCTCAACATTATCTGTTGAAAAAACTATTCTTCCTCCATTAGATTAGGTGCATTACATTAATTTTCAGATGTTAAACTAACCTTGCAATTCTGGGATAAATCCTACTTGGATATGGCTTATAATATTTTTTATGTTACTTAATTCACTTTGCTAGTATTTTGTTGAGTAGTTCTATATCTATATTTATAAGGAATATTGTTGTGTAGTTGTATTTTTGTGTGAGATTCTATCTGGTTTGGTATCAGAATAATTCTGACATCAAAGAATCAGTCAGAAACTATTACCTTGTCTTTTATTTTTGGGAGAGTTTGAGAACGATTGGCATTAATTTTTTAAATTTGTAGAATTCACCAGTGAAGCCATCTGGACCTGGGCATTTTTGTGAGAAGATTAATTATCAATTCAATATCTTGTAAATTTATTCAGATTACTATTTTTTTTTCTTGAGTCAGTTTTAGTAGCTTGTATCTTTCTAGGAATTTATTCATTTTATCTAAATTATGTATTTTGTTGGCATAGAGTTATTGTATTATTTTCTGATAGTTATTTTTATTTTTGTGAGGATAGGAATACCAATTACTGTTTGGTGTCATTTGCTTTCAGCCTGAAGAACTCCCTTTATTTTTTTTTTTCAAAGCATATATGCCAGCAGAAAAATTCTCTAGGCTTCTATCTTTATTTCTTTATGTAATCTTTATTTTTGAAACAGTTTCACTGGATATGAGATTTTTGGTTGACAATATTTTACTTTCAAAGCTTTAAATTTGTGATCCCATTATCCTCTGGCCTTCATTGTTTCTGATGAGAAGTCAGCTGTAAATGTTATTGGGATCCCCTTGTATTTGATGAGTCATTTCTCTCACAGATGTCAAGATTTTCTTTTTACTTTTGGTTTTCAACATTTTGAGTCTGATGTATTTAGGTGTGGATATCTTTGCTTTTATCCTGCTTTGAGGTTGTTGAGCTTTATGGATGTACAGATTAATGTTTTCCATCAATTTGGGATGTTTTCAGCTATTACTTCTGTGAATATTTTTGTGACTTTTTTGTTGTTTTCTTCTGGTACTTCCATTATGAGTATTTTGGTGCATTAATGGTGTCCCACATTTCTCTGAGGCTCTGCTTATTTTTCTCCCTTCTTTCCCTTCTATGTTCTTCAGAATATATAACCATATAACCTGCATCAGTCTATCACCAAGTTCATTGGTTATTTTTTCTCTTCGGTCAAATATACTATTGAGCCCCTCTACTGATTTTCCCCCCCAGTTATACTTTTCAGCTCCAGAATTTCCATTTGATTTGTTTTTATAATTTCTATCTCTTTATTGATACTCTCTATTTGATGGGGCATTGTAATCATACCTTCCTTTAATTCTTTAAGAAGTATTTAGTTCCTTGAATATAATATAATAACTGTTTGAAGTCTTTATTTGATATGTTTGATAACTAGGCCCCCTCAAAGGCAATTTCTATTGCCTGCTTTTTTCCTGTGTATGAGTTACACTTTCTTGTTTCTTTTCACGAATCGTAATTTTTTTGTTGAAAATTGAAGATTTTACATAATATATTCCAGCAACTCTAGATACTGATTCCTCTCTATTCTCCTCCCCCACACACTGGAGGTTGATGTTTTTGTTCTTTGTTTTGTTCTTCATTTATTTAATGACTTGGTTGTACTAACTCTGTGAAGTCTCTCTCTCCCATAATGTAAAGATTCTGATGTCCCTGTGCAGAATTATTTTACTTTCCCCTATTTTTACTTTTAGTCTGGCTCCCTAGGAGTCATTGCGGGTCTGCACAAGCCACTTATTGGTCAACACTTGTGCTTCAGTTCTCTTAGCCAGTTATATTTTTACCCTCACCATTGGGTGTTTCTGTTACTTGGGGGCTATTACTAAAACTTAGGGAGCTTATGTATTTGCCCCAAGTTCAGCGAGGGCCTGGCACAGCCGTGGGCATCTACACGGTCTTTCAGCCTG